TGGGAATGATTGAAGGCAGGAGGAGAAGGGGACAGTAGAGGATGAGATGGTTGGATGGCATCACCGACTCAATGGACATGAGTTTGGGCAGACTCCGGGAGATTGTGAAGGACAGAGAAGCCCGGCCTGCTGCAGTCCATGGGGTCACTAAAGTGTCAGACATGACTGAGCCACTGAACAACAAGTTGTTCTCCTAAGAAGTGGGGTCTAGGAGAGAAGCCCACAGCCCTCTGCAATCGCAGCTGCTCTCAGAGGAGCCTTTCCCAAACTCTCCCTTCTCACCCGGTTCAGGGAGAGGGTTAATAGATACAAGGGGTTAGGCGGAGGCCTTTTGTGGCCAAACACTCTGGAAAAGATTGGCAGTTTACCCCGCCCCGAAGATTCACAATGTACATTAGCATAGTAAAGGCGCCAGATAAAGACAACGTTTGGCTTTGTTTACCGTGGGGGTTGCCGGTACTTCTGGAGCTTAAGCTGAAAGCGAAAAGAAGGGTAGGAGTTAGATAAGAGTGTTTGAGGCTGAGGGCACAGCCCAAGTGAAGGCCCCGGACAAGTCTGGAGAAGTGGATGAAGTTGAGTGCGGCTAGAGGAGCGGGCCTTTGATCCAGAGGGCCCGGGGCGACGATGCGCTCAGAGCTAACGCGCCGCAATCCAAGGCAGCTTGCCCAGCTCTCCGCAGGTTTGGCTGGCTGCCCCCTTGCATCCTTCCATCTGTAACCAACGTCTGGGGGACCGGCAGGAATGGATGCGGACCACGGGATTAGCACATCCTCTTGGAGTTTCTCCCCCATGGCCTCTGGGTCTCTTCACCCCACAACCGGGGAGAGCCACAGTGCCCGGGGCTCCCCTGACAGGGTTTGGAGATATCCCTTGACACCCAAACACGACCGCCCCTCTATGACCAAAGGTACTGTCCCCAAGCCTTTGGCCATGGGGCTGCAGCCAGGTTCCACAAAAACAAAACAAATAGCCTGCCTGGAAGGGGGTGGTACTATCTGTCTCCGAAGTTTTACAACCCATGTTACTGGGTGCTGGCCTTGGTCCCACAAGACTTCAGAGCTGCCAGTGATGGCAGAAGTGAGAGTTCACGGGTGTATCCTCTTTAGAAAGGTGGAGGGATAGACAGAGGTGCTGGGGAAAGCCGGCAGGACGGCAAATAGCATCTGTGGACTGCCTCACCCAGACCAAAGAGTGCTTCCCGGCCTCAAATTTACCACCCTCCTTATGTCAAATATAACACATTGTCCGAGCTAATGACCTCTGACCCCGCCTTAAAAAAAAAAACAGCCCTCCACTTCATCTGTCTTTGGGCTGCTGACTGCCATTCCTGGAACAGGCGGAGAGTCTAGCAGTTCTTTTGTTTTCCAATGATACTTTTTCTCCTGATTCCCTTCCTTTCAATCTCATTTTGCTCCGTGTCTCTATAAAGAGCAGGGCTACCCAGACTCCTGCCCACCCTGACATCAGGCGAAAGCCAATCAGGGGAGCCTCTGATTTGATGTACAAATTTGCAGGGTTCTCATTCAACTGTCGGATTCACGCTCAAAGTGGCCATTCAAAAAGAGTCCTGGGCCTCACTCAGAGTTCAGTCTGGCCTGAGGACTGACTTTCCAAGAGCTGCAAGGTGATGGGTAGAGCCAGCCTTTTTGGCAGTAGGGGCCCTGGGCAGAGATGAGTCCGACCATACCCAGGAACCCGAGAAGAATAAATACAAGTCACAAGCAGCATGATCGCCCAAGTGTGGCAGCGCGCCACCTGGTCCTAGACATGCGTGGGAGAACGTCTGATGCCTACAACAGTCTGCAACAAAGGCAAAGGAGTGACCGAGAGCTCTGAGCTCCACCCTTGACTCTATGTGACCCTCTGCACACAAGGGTTCTATCTGAAATGCTGGAGGGCACAGGAGTCTGAGTGCTCATCCCTGTGGCAGTTAGGGTCCTCCAGGTAGCAGATACCAAGATGGAATCAAGTTCGGGATGTGTATTGGGAGTAACTTGCCAGAAGGGTCAGAAGGAGGGAGCAGGAGTAGGTGGGAGAGACTTCAGGCCAAGACGCAGGTCTGATCCCTAAGAAACGAGGGGAAAGGAAGGAAGACGCGAAGAGAAGAAACTCAGACACAGCACAACTCTGAGAAAATCTCCATCAGGCTAATAGGGAGGGAGCCCCGGAGCAAAGACTGCCCATCAGAGACATCCCACGTCTGGCTTGATGGCCCAGCTCTGGTGGCCCTCTCTGCTGTCCCTGGGCGGGGTCTGTGGCCCCCTCAGCTGCTGTGAATGCTGAAGGTGCAGCAGTTGGGGGCTGTCAGCTAAGAGCACCCCTTCCAGAACCTTCTCCACTGAAGGGAAGCCTGGGTAGTGCCCTCCCACGGCTGCCACAGTGCTTCTGTGCCAAGGCAAGAGGATATATCAGGGATGGTACAGGGTTACAGCCCTGGCTTTAAGCCTGGTCTCCTGACGGCAGACAAACTTTCCCCTCTTTTCGTCTCAGTGTGTGGACGAAGAGAATCAGTCGTCACCGCATCTGTCCTGTCTCAAGTCTGAACACCCTTGGATTCTGGTTGTTTTCACCTTTGAGCTCCTCGAAGGTAGATACGAAGTCAAAAAGGACTCAGGGACTGAGGGGCCTCTACCCCCAGAGATAAATACATTCAAGTTGGAAAAGGTCCCAGTCATATTTGCAAGTCCAGAAGGGAGGTGGGGTGGGCTGAGACCACTGAGCTACCCATTGATTTGATTATTCCTCAAAGGTGTACTAAATACCTGCTCTGAAGCAAGTAAGGACTATGTGCCCAAGAGAGGCTGCGAGTCTCCTGAGGACCAGCGAGGCTGTAGCAGGAAAATCTAGCCACCCAACCCCCTACCACCGAGGTACCGAGATGAGGGGTTCAGAAGCTCCCTAAAATAGAGAGTGTAATCCAAACGACCCTCCACACACACACACTCCCCCTGCACTGCCGATTCACAAATACATGCGCACACACATGCACGCACAAACACACACACAGAGCCATCTTTGGCATCATGAATAATTTATCTTTGTAGAACCCTGTACAGTTTACAAATATTAAAGCATTATCTCATTGTTTTAATCACAACAACTGCTGTGGAGCAGCCTCATTCTTCCTGATAATGAAGTTGGGCTCAGAGATAAGATCTGAGCAAGGTGAAATGGCTCAGTAGGTGGTTCTTAACCTTTGGGGTAATCTCAGCTCCCTTTAAGAACCCTCTTCTCAGGAAAAAAAAAAAAATATATATATATATATATATATTTCACCCAGGCTTTCAGGGCATTACAATTCCCTCCTCCAAACCCTCCAAAATGGGGGTGAACACCCCACCCACCCCTAGTGGTAGGAGGCCAGGCTAAAGTTTTGCCCGGCTGGAGCTGAGGTCCACCGGGCAGCCCCTGGATGGGCGAGGAATCTCCGTGCCATTACAGCAGAATAAGGGAATCTCCCAGCCGAGACGGGCAGGGAAGGGTTAAAGGGGGGAGGAGGGGGGAAGGGTTTTGTTTTTCACCTCGGAGGACTCTGTTCTGGGTCATTAAGAACACACAAGGCCGAGTGAGCATTCCATTCCCCGGGCCTGCCTCCAGCGCACAGCTCTGCTTCCCAACAAGATAAGTCCTGTGCAGAAGACCAGCCTGCTTCCCAGAGAGCCAGATGGGAACTCGCCCCAGATAAGGGCCGTCCAGTGCCAGTCACACGGGGCCTTACCGCTGCAAGAGCGGCCAACCCCGAGGCTGCAGTTCTTGTAGGCTGAGGAGGGGGAAGCGTTTCTGTTGTTGTTCAGTCGCCAAGTGTGTCCGATTCCTTGCGACCTCGTGGGCTGCGGCGGCCAGGCTCCTCTGGCCCTCACCATCTGAGCGTTTCTAGGGGGCTCACTAACACAATGCCGGTCTAGGCTGCTCTAGAGGAGGAACCCTCCCCGGGGTCCAGCACAGTACAGAGCCAAAGCGGGGCTGCCCCCAGGTTGTGGACAGTGGGGCCTCGGCATCTGTGTGCCCGCAATTTGGGGGCTGGGTGGGTTCCAGCGACGCCTCAGCCACCTCCTGCTGGGCTCACGGACGGCTTAACCGTCCCACCCGAGCCTTGGAGCAATGCTACCCCCCATCCACCACCCAGGTGGTACCTGGGCCCTGCGCAGGTAAGGGGAAAGGCCTGTGGAAAACACCATTACAGATAAGTAACAGCCCCTTTCAGGTTTAATGACACGTTGCATCCATCCTAAAGCTCTCAAAAAAAAAAAAAAAAGGCCCTCTCGGGGGACAGCGCTCGCGCCTGTAAGTAGGAACGACAGGCCGGGGCGCGAGCGGGGGGCGGGGGGAGCCCACGGCGCGGCTCGGGTGTGTAAATTAACTGGGGGCAGCAGAGTAAATACATTACACACGGTATTTATTATGCGTCCGGACCTCGGAGGGGTTCTCTGGCTCCCGGACGTGGCAAATCTTGTCCTGAGCGGCCGAGGGCGATGGCTAGCCGGTCGGGGCCCGGGGGATGGCAGGGGGAGAGGGGTGCGGGGGGAGGCTTTTGATTCTGCGCCCAAGAGCCCCCGGGGAGCCCCCTCCCCGCGGCTGAAGGTGGGGGAAAGGGCGGGGGCGGAGGAGACGTGGCCCCGGGCGCCGATCGGGCGAGGGGCCGGGAGGGGAGGGCGACGGGGTGGGAACGGGCGGCGCGCCCAGCCCCTTAGCATTCCGCCGGCGCGCCCGCCATCGCAGCGTGCGCCCCCGCGCCCCGCTGTAATTACCCCGATTACCAAATGAATCTCGCGCTTTTGTGCTCGCCGGGCGGTGGGTGCGGGGAGGCAGTTCTAATAGTTGTCATTAGGGCCGGGGGAGGCGGGGCGCCGGGGGCTGGGGGTGGGGAGCTCGGGGGTGGGGGGAGGCCCGCCGTTCCCTCGCTCGCTCGCTCGCAGGCGGTCCCGGGCGGCGCGCAGGCCGCTGCTGGCTGCTGAGTAATGATTTTTTTTCTAATTGGAGGCGAACAGCGGCCCTAATGGATGGAGCCGCTCTCGGCGCGCTCGCTGCACCCGCCCCTCGATCAATACTGCTCGCTGCGACCGCCTGGCCGAGCTCCCCCGCCCTTTGTGGTCCGAGATGCCGCGGGGGCCCCCAATCTCCCCCCGTCGCCGCGCCCCCCACGAAGCCTCTGCCCCGCCCGGGGCGGCCCCCACCTCCCCGACACCCTCCCGCCCCTCCCAGACTCTCCGTCCCCTCCTAGCCTCACATCACCCGCAGCCTAGTCCCCGTGGCTTTCTATCCAGGGCAGGTTGTCGAGCAGGCGCAAAAATGTAGGGGAAGGACAGACTCTGGATTGCCCCCTCCACGCTTCCGCCGAGCTCCCCAGGCCCGGGGGAGAGCCAGGCACGGGCAGCCACCTCTGAGAGTTTGCACCCGCTGATCGGGAAAGGGTTCGCTGAGTCAAATTAAACCGCGCTTTCTTTTCTCCGTGAGCCCTTCCCAGCTCAAACCCGCTCCTCCTCGGCCCTTTCAGCTTCTTGTACTAAAAGAACCATGGCGGCTAGACACACCCCGGGGTTCCGTTCTCCAAGAAGCCCCGAGTCTGGACAGGGCGACGAGTTCCCTGGGGTGTGCGGGGTCAAACGCGCCCCCAGTTTTGCTCGCCTGGTTCCTGCACTGTTTCTAACTAGCTGATGACCTTGGGCGAAGACTCAACGTCTGGGGGCCCCTTTTGCTACACCCTGCTGAAGTTTATCCGGGCCGGCCAGCTGGGGGACTGGAATGTGTGTGCTCAGTCGTATCCCACTCTGCGACCCCATGGTCTGCCCCCCGCCAGATTTCTCTGTCCATGGGATTCTCCAGGCAAGAATACCCGAGTGCGTTGCCATGCCCTCCTCCTGGGGCTCTTCCCCACCCAGGATCCAACCTATGTCTCTCGTGTCTCCAGCACTGGCAGGTGGATTCTTTACCACTAGCCACCTGGGAAGCCAGACTGGGATACAGCATTCAAAGGAATGGCTGGAAACTATTGCTCCTCCCTGTAGTCTGCAGACCCTCCACCCTCTGGGGAAAATCTGAAAATCCAGGCTCCTGGGAGGCCCTGGCTGCTCCAACCTCTACCCTCCTTCCATTCTGCATTTTCCATTGCTGACCATCATTCATGCTTAGCATTGCCTGATATAGTAAGCTCCTGTTTGTTTATTATCAGTCTTCCCCACTACCATGTAATCTCCATAAGGACTGGGATTTTTGTCCATCTTGTATCCCCAGCTCCTGAAACTGAGCCTGGAATGAAGGAGATGCTCAATAAATATTAGTTGTATGAATGAATTGAAGGAATTTGAACTCGATCCAACTTCTTCATCTCTCTCGGAAGCAGTGGCTTCTCATCCCTTGGGTTCTGTGCCATGTCATATTTTCCAAAATATGGCAACAGCAATATTTCTGGTCTCACATGCCCCTCTAGAACCTTACTACTAGCTCCCTTTAAGGGTAGGAGTCTTACTCCACTTGAACCAAGTCTGGCCTTTGAGACTACACCTCCATGAATAGAATGTGGCCCAAGTGATACTGCAGACTTCCTAATCTAGGTCATAGAAGGTGATATGGCATCCATCGGACTTTGTTTCTCTCCTGGGATGGTCATCCTTGGAATCCAGCCACCATGTTGTAAGGAAGCCCAGGCCACATGAAGAGGCCAAGGTAGTGTTCCAGCCAACAGTCTGATGTTCCAGCTAATGTCCCAGCTGACAGCCAGCACCAGCCACCAGTTACATGAAAGAGTGAGCCTTCAAATGATTCCTTTGATCCACCCTAGTCAATGCCAAGTGGCATGACCCTTGAAGCTACCCAGCTGACACTGAGTGGAGCAGACAAGCTGTCCCTGCCAAGCACTGCCTAAGTAGTAGATTCATGAGCAAACTAAATGTTGATGTTGTAAGTCACTAAGTTTGGGGAGAGTTTGCTACCCAGGAGTAGTAAATAGATAGCTGGAACTATAGATAATAGATAGTGGGAGCACTCAAGTGACTTCTCTTCAGCCCCCTATCTCCTAGGCACACCATGGAGCTGCTTGCCACAGTACACAGAATCACCCCCTTGGGGCTCCATCCGCTCAGCCCACCACTATTTTTGAGGGTCCTCAGTTCACATAGCCCATTGCCACAGCTGCTTCGGTACACATCAGCCCACTATGAGTCCAGGCTGGCCATTCTCTGGGCCAACTCCCAAGATGTGGCCCAGCTCAATGGGAAGAAAATCACTCTGCTTTGATGGTCTGCACCACCACACATGCTAATCCTGTAGCATCTTCCTAACCAGCTCTCTCTCTCACCCTCCACACACCTACCCCTCTTTCCACTCAGCCCCAACTTCACGGAGACCTCGGGAGTCATAAATAAGAGCCCAGCCCCCACCCCAGCATCTCACCACTATATGTCTGTCTATACCACCCTGTCCATCTGCGTTCCAGTGCCAAGGGAGGAGCATCCTCTCCCTCATCTCATGGCCAATCCCGTTCCTGAACTCTTGAGTCCCAGAGGCTCCAACTCTAGGGCAGAGATCTGTGGTAGATCTTTTTCACAATGATGGAATTGTGCTGTGCTTTCCTAGCCACTAGCCACATATGGCTCTTCAGCACTTAAAATGTGGCTAGTGTGACCAAAGAACTGGATAGTTTTATTTTAATTAATTGAGATAATTGAGCGTGGCTAGTAGCTACTATATTGTACAGTGCAACTCTAGAGATTAATCCCCAGCCTAACCCTCCCCACTGGCAATTAACGTGTGCTCTTCTCCAACTCACATCTCAGGCCATGGCCACCCAGCACCCACTCCAGCACCCCTCCACGCCCCAGGTCTGTACACACTGTCAACTCTGAGAATGCTGATTCTCTTTGAAGTCTCCACTGAAAAGTCTGGATGAAAGAAAAGGCTTTCTTCCAGGAAACCTTCCCTGACACCCCCATCCCCGAATAGGTTGGGGGTCCCTGCCATGTGCTGCCATGGTTCCCAATTCCCCAGGACTGCACGTATAATATTCCCTACAGACCGGCTGGCCCACAGGGGTAGAGGCCAAGCTCCCTCACTCAACGTCACACCCCTGTGCCTGGACCAAGCACATAACGGAGACTCGGGACATATTTGTGGAAGAAATGCCTTGGGAAGAAGGGGACAAAAAGTTCCAGCCTGATGGGGGAGACTGAAGGTCTGGCTCAGCGTTCATTCCTCTGTTTGCCTTCTATAATTCAGGCCTTACACAGCCGGCACTCACTACATGTATAATTCAGGAGCGTTTGCATGATTTGGTCCCGGCCTTTCTCAGGGAAGGCTGTGCACAGGCTTGGCCACTCTGGGCCATCAGGAGGCGGGGCAAGGGGGCTGCTGGTTAGACCCCTGGGGCAGGGAGGAGAATTGCTCAGGGTTGAGTTGAGCTCCACGAGCGGCTCCTAAAGCAAAACTGGCAACAGGGCTTCTTGTCTACAGAGAGACCGCTCTAAGCTGGCCTGAGGCCATTGGAAGCTAAAGGCCGCTGCCCAACTCACTTGCCCTCAGACCATCTCCCCCGACTCCCATCCCCTCCATGCTGCTGCCTGAGTGACCCAAGACCCCTTTTGCTTTTCTTCTTCCTTCTCTTTGTGCACAAAGGGGAGGACAAGTCCTGCTCAGACCTGCTTCTCTCCAGGAATTGCTGGGAATTAGATGGAGTGACACCTGCCCGCGGCAGAGGACAGGGCTGGTTCCCAAAGCCCCGCGTGGACACCTCTGATAACCACCACAGTGGCTGTTCTTCATGCCGCCGGCTCATTAGGCTTTCTGGGGCTGGGCCAAGAAATTGCCAAGGACAAGACAGGCGGCGTCTGCCGGCAAACTCTGCGGAGCCCACTCCCCTCCGAGGCCCTTCCTTCAGTGTGAGCGAGGGGGTGAGTTCCGCTGAGCGAGGGGGTGAGTTCCGCTGAGCTAGAACCGCGCCTGACAAGTGACACTTTGACGAGCGACGTGATGACGAGTCCCTGGGGAGACTGTGGAGTCTGGTTCCTGCAGACACTGTCTCCCCTGAGGCAGTCTTCGTGCTTGAGTGCTGAGTCTGTGTGTGTGTGTCTGTGTGTGTGTGTGTGTGTGTGTACGTACATCCTGCTTCTCGGAGGAAGATTCTCCAGATTCCACAGCCGACTTAACAGAGGCCCTCCTGAACACTCGCGGGGCCCACAGACACGGGGAACAAATGTGACAAACCAGCCACTGGCTGCTGAATTCAGGTGATCCCTCCTGGAGTTGCCCTGTCCTCACCCCCTTGTTCCAAGCCAGTCCCCTCAGAGCTGCAGGTCCTGCCCGAATGTGGTGAGGAAGTGAAGATTCAGCCTCCAGGCGTGTGATCTGCTTGCTAACTCCAAACCCCTGGATCAAGCCCAAGTCATCAGTCCTGTGCTAGGACAGAGGAGCCTGGGGGTCTACAGTTCATGGGGTCGCAAAGAGCTGGACATGACTGAGCAACTGAGCACACCCCTGGAAAAGGAAATGGCAACCCACTCCGGTATTCTTGCTTGGAACATCCTATGGACAGAGGAGTCTGGTGGGCTACAGTTCATGGGGTCGCAAAGAGTTGGACACTGGGTGGATGCAGAAATAAATGGAACAGTATCCCTTTCTTAAGAGAACTCACCATCCAGGTACCGTAGTTGGTAAAGGTCATAGGTTCCAAAGAAGCCAAGGTCACATGAAAAGCTTTCAGAAAGAGGTGACATTTGAACTTGAAAAATACCTAGGTGAAGGAAAGCCCCAGGAGATGGAATAGGGAGGAGGGCTGGCTCTGCCTTCCAACAGGGACTTGTGATGGGGTGGCAGAGTTCCCTGTGGGGGAAGCAGATGGAATGAATGTAAAGGAGAGCAAGGAATTGAAGAAGCTTCTCGCAGGACAGTGTGCCAGTTGTCTGGTCCCCAGGGTCCCCTTCCAGATGCCAACAAGCAAGCCTGGTCTTTCCCCTTGTGCCCTGTAGGGAATGCGCCAAGGTCTCATGTGGTCTAATTAAACCGCTCTCAGTGTCTCAGAGTCCCCACCTCTACTGGGCCAAAAGGGGCTGCTCCCTTGCTCTGCTCCCAGGGGGCCTGCAAGGGACAATCTCACTCCCCTGCCACCAACAGCCCTTCAAATACAGTTGACCCCTTCAAATACAGGGGTCAACTGTATTTGACCCCTGAATGACATGGGGGTTAGGAGTGCTGGACCCACACAGTCAAAAATCCACATGTACCTTTACCATCAGCTCACCATTTCCACAGCTCT